TTGAAAAGCACTTGTTCTTGAGGGACTAACCTTCCCAGTTCCCATACACTCTCTGAGTCTGAACATTGAATAATATATCCTCAACATGCTCCTAATTTTATCCAATCTAAAGCGCCATCGCATTATCAATAATACATATGCTTCTCATAATCTTATCTCTTCTCTCGTATTGCCTTCTCAGAATCTTACCAATAATACATATTCCATGTAAAGAAATTCAAGTTCATTTTCCAAAAGAACATTCCCTTATTTCTAGCCCTTTTAACCATTGAGATGTCCATAATCCTCGTGCAGGTACAACATGCCATGGAATTTTTTTTTTCTTTTATGGGTTTTAGGTTTGAAAAATAGGGATGTCATTTCTATTCATAAGTTTACAAAATCGCGCAAGTAGTAAAATTCGAGTAAATAAGTGTCGAATCCCAAGAAAACTACTTATCAAGTATCAAACTAATCTATTTTATTACTATTTGATAAAACAAAATTTTAAGAATGATTTAATGGAAAATAAAACAAACTAAAAACTAAACAGAAGCAAAATTTTATTAATACTTTAGTGAAAAGATCAATAAGACTAAACCTAGGGCACACAATTCACACCAATTTAATCCTATGCATTGACAATTATTGCTAACCTAATTAAGCTTATTCTAAAGGCCAAACTCCCTAATATTTCAGTAAGTTTCTCTCGAACAATTAGCAAATTAACCCTTAAGCAACAATCCAAAATATCTCTAAAGTGGATTTAGAAGCTAAAAGATCATTAAGTTCTATAGAATTTATCAGAGCCTCACAGATCGCAATAACCTATCTTTGGCATTCGCTCAATCTATGGCTTTATTACCTTAGACTAATCAGGTTTCATCTCTTGATCCCAACCTAACCCATAAAATCATTCAACTCTCGGGCCCTTAAGAATTGAATAAAACTTAGAATTAATGCTCAATTAAAATTTTAACAACGATAAAGTCAACACATATTCATAAATTGGGCTATTGTGAAGATTTAATAGAGCAAAAATGAAATTGACAACTGATTTTGTATTAACAATGTTAAGAATGAATACAACCAAGATCTCTCTTATATATAGGAGAGAGAATCAGTTAAGAAGCAGTAAAGTAGCTCCTGTGTGAGCTTAAACAGAGTACAATTGATTTCTGTAAAATGAACTACTCAAAATGACACCGTCTTTGACAAATACTTGTGTGGTCCTTTGTGTTTTCAGAATTGCAGTTTTCACCCTTTGTATGGTCAACATTTCCCCTCAAACTGAACTACTCCTCATATGGTTGAAGGTCAATATTTCCCCTCAAACCAAACTTCATTTCCCTGGCTATGTTTTTGACAGCTAAGGATTAGAACTTTGTTTCTTCTTTGCAGCAACCTGAATGACTTCAAAACAATGCCACATCATATACTACTCATGGTGTAATTGACACACAATATATTTAAAAGACTAAATTATGCTCTAGCATTAGTTGAACTGCTGCTTCAATTAATAGCTTTTGAACTATTGCTTCAATTAATAGCTTCTGAACTGCATTTTACTTATTTGAACTTTGCTCTAACTTTAGCTAAACTGTCGCTTCAATTAATACTTTATGAACTGCATTTTACTTATTTGAACTTTGCTCCAACTTTAGCTAAACTGTCGCTTCAGTTAATACTTTATGAATTGCATTTTACTTTTCAACTTCAGAATTACATTCTTTTTTTTAGCTACTGAACTACATTCAACTTTTTGGCTCCTAAATTGTTGCAGTAACAACTTCTAAATTAGCTTGATATTTTAGCTTTTGCATCAGCTTCTGATAAACACACAGAGTCTTTCGTACCACACTTTACTTCCTCTTTTTTTTTAGAATCAGGCATGGCTATAATAGTCAATTTTTGCTTCAATTCAAGGAACTGGGCTGCTGATAACGCTTTGGTAAGTACATTAGCAATTTGCAGCTGAGATGGAACATACTGAACCATAATCTTTTTAGCCAAAACCTGATCACTGATGTAATGGATATCAATCTCAATATGCTTGGTCCTGGAATGAAAAACAAGATTTGTAACAAGGGCACCAGCACTAACATTATCGCACCAAATTACTGGAGGAGTTTTCAGGGGCAAGGCTAACTCACAAAACATGCTTTGCAACCAAGTTATTTCAATGATTGTGTGTGCTAAGGCTCTATATTCAGCCTCTCTGTTTTTGCGAACTCCATTGGATAAGGTTAGGTCCTAGATAAACACAATACTAGATCGTCGATCACCTAAGCTGCTGCCCAAGTTTGCATCAGCATAGCATTTAACATTCAGAGATGCAGCTGGTCTAAATTGCAACCCATGATATTGTGTGCCTTTGATATACCTTAAAACTCTCTTGCAAGCTTGCCATTAGAGTTCTGTTGGTGCTTAAAGAAACTAACTTAGCTTATTAACAGTGAAGCTTATGTTAGGTCTGGTTAAAGTTAAGTATTAGAAGGCCTCGATGGTGCTTTTGTATAGGCTGGGATCTTTGAACAACTCACTATCAACGGAAAAAAGTTTTGTGCCAATAGTCATGGGTGTGGAGCATGCATGAGCATCCAACATCTTAGTTTTGGATAGTAAATCCATCATGTATTTTGTTTGCTTCAAATGAATGCCATCAGAGGTCTTTGTGGCTTCCAAACCAAGAAAATACTTAAAAGACCTAAGAGTTTTTAAGGTAAACTGATCATTAAGATCTTGAACAAGCTGATGTATGGATGAACCATTGGATCCAGTAATCAATATATCATCAACATGTACAAGGACATAGATGATGTAGGAACCAGTTTTGAGAATGAATAAACTGGAGTCAGATATAGAGCTATTAAAACCTCTATCCAGAAGAGCAAACTTCAGCTTGTCAAACCAGGTCTTGGAGCCTGTTTAAGGCCATAAAGGGCTTTGTTCAACTTGCAAACATGAGTAGGATATTGAGGATTTTCAAACCCTGCAAGCTGCCTCATATAGATTGTTTCATTAAGAATGCCATTTAGGAAGGCATTATTGACATCCAGTTGTTGGATGTCCCAGTCATTCATCACAGCAAGGGTTAGTATAATTCTGATGTTGAGGGCTTAATAATAGGGTTGAAATTTTCAAAAAAAAATCCAAGCCAATGGTTTGCTGAAACCCCTTGGCAACCAGCCTTACTTTTGTACTTTTGTAGCGACCCATCATCAAGAAACTTTGTCTTGAGGACCCATTTGTTACCAACAATCTGCATATCATTCATCTTGGGAACAAGGGACCAAGTGTTGTTCTTTACTAATGCATCATACTCAAGTTGCATGGCTTCTCTCCATTCACTACTGACAAAGGGTTCAGCAACAGAATTAGGTTCTAGTAGAATAGGTTCTTGACCAGATATGATGAGGGCTATTTTGTTTTGAAGACTGGTTTTTGCTCTGGTTAATATAGGATGTGTGTTCATAGGTAGAGAAAAGGTTGCTGATGTTGAATGATTTGTTTTAGGAGGGTGTAATGCAGTAGGCAAACCAGTTGATGAAGTAAGATATTGCGATGGATTCAAATCAATTACAAGAGGGCAGTGAGAAGGCTCCTAATTTTGTAATCAGTGAGATTGTGATGTAGTAGGTTGATTTTGAATGGTGTGATGTAAAAGGTATATTAGTGGATGAAATGGGAAATTGAGATGGTGTTAAGTCTACTATGAAAGGGCAGGAATGAGGTTCCTAACAGTGAGAAGGCTTTGATTTTGTAATCTATGAGGTTGCGATGTAGTAGGTTGATTTTGAATGGTGAGAGGGTGTGATGTGGTAGGTGTTAAATGAGATGCAATAACTGGTACATGTGATTGGTGAGGTGATGTTGATGATGGTAAAGAAGGTAGAGTAGTGTTGGAGATAAGTTTGGATTGATGAGAAGGTAATGTTGAGGAGGAATTTTGTGCACAATTGTTAAAGTAGGAATGGATGCAGAACATGATACTACTGGAGATACTTTACTACTATGAGCTATTGGTGATTGAGAGACTAGATCAGCAGGAGACACTGATGATGGTACTGACAAAAAAGGAAAGCTAAGACTAGAAGAATTGTTAGTTGATTGTGAAAAAGGTGGAACTTGAGACTAAAGAAAATTGTGCCCAAAAGGAAATTCATCTTCATTAAAAGTGACGTTAGGTGTGATAAAAAAATTTCCTTCAAGACTTAAAACACCTATAGCCTTTATGGTCTAGACTGTATCCTACAAATACACATTTAGAAGAATGAGAACTAGGTTTGTGCCTATTGTAATCTCTTTGGTAAGAAAACATGCATAGCCAAAAACCTTTAAAGATGAATAAAGGGGTAATCTACAAAACAACAATTGATAAGGACACTTAAAATCAAGAATAGCAGATGGCATCCTATTGATTAAAAACACTACTATATCAAATGCAAGCCACTAGAAAGTCATAGGCATAGAGGCATGTGCAAGTAGAGTGAGACCAATTTCAACTATATGTCTGTGTTTTCTCTCACTTCGTCCATTCTGTTGATGGACATAAGCGCAAGAGTGCTTAAATTGAATGCCAGAGTTGGTTAGGTAAGGAATTAAACCCCTATATTCACTCCTTTGATCAGACTGTAAGCACTTAAGTTTATGAGTAAATTGTCTCTCAGCTAAATGATGAAATTTGACAAAAACAGAAAGCACTTTAGCTTTGGTTCTTAAGGGAAAACACCATGTGAATCTGCTAAAATCGTCAAGAAAATGCACATAGTATTTAAAGCCTTCAATGGATGTCACTGGAGAAGGAGCCCAAATGTCACTGTGAACTAGTTCAAAAGGAGTAGTGGCTCTAGAGTGAGAAACAAGAAAGCTGTTTTTGTGCAATTTGCCAAGTTGGCATGCATCACAAAAAGAAATGGAAGGAATATCTTTGAAGAGTTGTGATTAATTTGCAACATGATTTTCTGAAAAACTTCTGAATGCGGATGCCCTAATCTTTTATGCCATAAGGATGAAATGCTTTATTTATGACTAGTGGCTTGATGGGCTAAAAGTGAACTATTAGGCATACACATATGACATTGAGGAACAACATTATTATCATTAAAACTACTAGTACCAGAATCAGTTTCAATAGCATTGTAAGCACTACTATTAGTAGTATAATCATGAACAACATCAACAGCATGATAATCAACAACAGATTCTATACCAACAGCATCAGAATCAATATAAACATCATGACTAGTAGTTCTATTATGATTATTATCAACAGCATGACTATTATCATCAGGATAAATGCTATTAGTATTAGACTTAACACTAGCAGCATTGTAACAACAAAAGTTAGCATTATTATCATTAACACAATCAACATTATGAATGTTATTATTATTATTATCAACAACATGACTATTATCATCAAGATGAATGCTATTAGTATTAGACTTAACACCAGTAGCATTGTAACAACAAAAGTTAGCATTATTATCATTAACACGATCAACAATATGAGTCTCATTGGTATGATCAATCACATTACTCATATTAGAGACATTATTAGTAAAGAATTAGTAATCAGAAACAGAAATGTTTTTATTCATTGAAGGGATATTACAATTATCCAGAATTAACTTTGTAGACTCATTATCAATATTAACAGCAACTTTTGTGCAACCTGATTGACTGACACTAGTTTGTAGCTCACTAAGACTCTTATGTGGGACCTTATTTCTTAACGTAGATACAGACTTATAGGAATCAATATCAGTAACACTAGGAAAACAATTTTGAGGTTTGGAGCTTGCGACAGAAACAAAGCTTTGTGAATTAAGAGGGACAGAAGACTGAGCTAGAGTATCTTGAGAACTGACAGATGGAAGTCTCAATTGATATAGTCCAGCATTAAGTTCTCCCTATAGTAACACTGCTCTGAAAACCATGTCCTTAACAATGCAACAATCAGAGAATTCAACCACAACATTATTGTCTTTAGTAAATTTGTATATACTAAGCAATTTTTTTGTAATTCTTGGTACACACAAAACATTTTTTAAATGTAGGCATTTATTTTTCAGAAAACTAGGTAAAGAAGCAAAGCCAACATGGGATATATCAAGAAACTCACCACTGCCTACTTGTAGTTGTTCAACTCCTCCATAATTTCTACTCACATTCAACTGATTAAGATCTGCAATGACATGGCTGATGGCACCAGAATCCATATAACGACGAGATCTGATGAAACAGAGGCACCAGTAGGAATAGAGGTTGATGAATTGGAACTGACAAGTATGTTCTGATGAGAGACTAGGTTGGCTTGGTTAGGTGTTTGTTGTTGTTTGCTGGGTACTTGAAATCCTTCTTGTGAAGTTGTTAAGAGTTGTAGTTGATGAGAAGTTTTAGTAAAATGTCCTTGGAATTGTGATCCTTCATACGAATGGGGAGACTGAACAGGTTGCTATGGCAGGATGTTGTTGTTTGGACTGTTGAGATAATTGTGTCCAGAGATGATAGGAGCTTGAGGACCAAAGGTGAGATAAGATCCAGAACCTATTCCAGCACTTATTTGTTGTGGGGAAGGATTATACTGGGGTGATGTCCCATTATAATTGGAGTTATACCTGTGGTAACATTGCACCGCAGTACGGCCTATTTTGCTGCAGGCTTGGCAGATTAGCCTTCCTCTGCCAATACCCCTACCACGACCTCTTCCAGTATTATGAAAAACAACAGGTCTGTAGGTAGCTACTAAAAGACTATAATAGGTTTGAGAAGGTTGAACATAATGCGGATCAGTTTGTTTAGTGGGAATGGTAGTTGTTAGAGGATAATGTTATGTGTAAGAGGGATTAGATAAGGTGGTTAGGGAAGGTGCAAACTATGTGAAAGGAGTTGGATTTCCAATAGAGCTAAGTGAAGTATTAGCAATACTTGAATGAGTAGGCTTAAAGGGAGGATTACTGGAATTACTCACTGCAGCAATATGCACTAACTTGCTGGAAAATCAATAGAATTGAATTTCTCCAATCTTAATTCATATTTTTGTAGAAGATATTGTGCCTCTTGAATGCTTACAGAATCAAACCTAGACTCAAGTCTAGAGGTTAAATTGACTACAGTAGCATCAAATTCAGGACCTAACCCATCGAGCACATATTGAAGAACATCTTCATCAAAAACAACTTGTCCACTAGAGGCCAAACTTTCAGTTATCCCTTTCGTTTTCTTGATGTAGTCACTAACACTGAGGTTGCCTTTTTGAGTATTTTGAAGTAAGTTTTTTAGGTGTAATGCACTAGCTTTAGAATTTGACAAGAATTCATTTTCAAGTGTGAACCAAACATCAGTAGAGAGTTGGCACTTAGATATACAGCTAAACACGCACTCGGATATTGATGCAAGTAACCAAGTAACAAGAAATTTATCAATACGTTTCCAGGCAACATATTCAGGATTGATTTTTTCTTTAGCTAGAGTTTCTTTAGAGCTAATTATTCCTGATTCAGTTAAACTATCAATTGTGAAGCAAGTAAAGGCTCAGGACAGAGAATTAAACCTGTCAAATGTTCTTCCAATCAATGAGCTTCGACTATGAACAGAACTTGCGAACACCAGAACCGATAGTTATCACGGTAATTGTCTCTTGTTAGCTTCGGATTTATAACTTGAAGACTTGAAGGAACAATGGACAAATGAAGCTCAGATAGACTATGAAGTTTATTCACGTTCTTTGCAGAAATGTCAAAACCAAAATTTTGAGCCATCAATGCGAGTCAACGACTCTGATACTATGTGAAGATTTAAGAGAGCAAAAATGAAATTGACAACTGATATTGTATTAACAGTGTTAAGAATGAATACAACCAACATCTCTCTTATAAATAGGAGAGAGAACCAGTTAAGAATCAATAAAGTAGCTTGTGTGTGAACTTAAACAGAGTACAATTGATTTCTGTAAAATGAACTTCTCAAAACAACACGATCTTTCTTTGACAAATAGTTGTGTGGTCATTTGTGTTTTCAGAATTGCAGTTTTCACCCTTTGTATGGTTAAAAGCTACATCTTTAGGCCTAGAAAAGGAATTTAGTTCATAATTATAGTAATAAAAACAACCATTGTATTAACAAACATGAGAACAATAAAGAAAAATATAAAAACTTCTCTAATTTGTGAACCAAAACTCTCAGAATTCTGATCTCCAAAGAGTAGCCGCCCTCTCTCCTTCTTAATCTCTCTAAAAACAAAATAAAGACCCTTATTTATAGTGCTACAGTTTGGAGGTTAATTAGGAAAAAAATAAATTCCTTAAACCATTCAGATTCGGACTAGGAAAATAAAATAACCCAAATAGGCCCGCAATCTATTGCTATGGCGATAGTTCTTTCTGTCCCACAAGTTTGGAATATTCAGAATTTGGCAAAGCCATCAACACTAACTTTGTAGCCCTCCGAATAAGCTTTCCAATGCCACAAGAATCATCCAATTCCGATTTCTACAGGTCAAGTTATGATCAAAACATTGAAGCGTGCTCATCTTGAAGAATTTTCAGGTTTCAAGTCCCATCTTCAACGCATCACAACGTTCTCGTTTCAACTTTTATTCTTGCACCGTTTGCTCCTACTCGTCACAAATTCCATCGACATCATCCTTCTTCATTCAAATATCGTTTATAACTTGAAAATACTCAAAATACACCCCGTGATCCCATAAAAAGCATTTATGAAATAATTAAAACAAATTTCACAATTTAAACACATTTTCCCACAAATAATATAATTGAATCACTAACAAAACATGTATTTTCAAGCTTTTATCAACACATGATTCCAATATATACATATATAAAATGTTTTGTAACCCTTGTATTACTCTTGCAAAACTAGTCAAACTTATTGTAAATCTCTAAGGAAAAAAGACAAAATTATCAAGAACCAGAATCACCACCCTTACAAGAACAAGACCTCGCTAACCAGCACTATAGCAGAATGGATTGGATTGATAAGCACCCATCATTCATCAAAAGCAAGTATCAGCAGGCGGAAGTTAATTAACAAGACATTAATTGAGAAAAAATTATATAGCCTGAAAAATTTCACGTTCAATAAAAAAGCTGCAAACAAGGCATTAATGTGGGTTACTGTTGAGTATAATAAAATTACAAAAATATAAAAGATGGGCATTTATTTTTGGGGAATTGGGCGGGTGGGGTTCAATGTAACTGGTGCAGGGCAGGCTCAGGCGGTCAGCCCAGGGAGGGGGGGTGGGGGGGCTCAGTGCTCAGCTCTAAGACCTTTGGCCTTTAGCAAGACCGTGAGAGGATTAGTTAGCACGTACTGTAATTTGAGGCTGAATTTATTTTAACCCCAATCTATTGTAAAACTACATTTATCCCCTTGGTTTTGGAAATACCCCGAAAGTTGGTATTCGTACATTCTTATTTTCCATTTGACCAGTTTTGACAACGAAAATTTCAGTCATATCCTTATTTTTATTAGTAGAAGAGTAAATATCTTAAATTAATCAATAAAAAAGTTTTATGGAATATAGTTATTAATAAGAAATTAAGAAAATCATTAAATATTAAAAGTAATCCTAAAATTTCAGCCAAAATCATAAAATTATGAGAAATTAATAAATTTTAATAACAAAAATAAGGGTATAACTGGAATTTTTGTGGTCAAAGTCAAAACTGGTAACAGTGGGTGTTTCCAAAATAAAGGGGGACAATTGTCTTTTCGCAATAGATTGGGGTCAAAATAGTATTCTAGCTATTATTTGATGTGATTTTTTTGTTTTTTTTGGAGAGGGAAAAAATAAAAAACAACTGAGAAGAAGGCCGTACGTTTTGTCATGTTTTTCTGATTGTTCACGTGACAATTATTTAGCCAAAAAAGGCATTTCTTCTCTTTCTTCTTCTTGTACTCCATTCTTATATTCCTTTCCTCTTTTATCTTTTCCATGAACAACTTCACAAAATATAAAAAATTATTTTGAATTTTCAATAACTATTTTTTAAAAGAAAGTAGGTTAATATAATTTGATCTATTTTATTATTGGGTTTAAAATTCTGTAATAAGAATAATTGTTACAATAGTGATAGATAATGATGTGGGCAAAAAAATAGTCCAACCCAAATATGTTAAAGAGTTATGATATTAATTCTCTTGAGATATGATGCAATTATCGAAATCTTTGTAAAATAACATAAATTATTTTATTGTTAAGTTTTAAGTGTTAAAATAAACGATATGAAAGAAATTTAGTAATATTCACTAACTAATAACCATGTAAATTTTAAGGACCCACTAATAGTTTGTTAACAGAGGTTTTTTGTTATTTAAAATTTTAAAACGATTTTTGTTCTTATATCTAACTCATTAGGAATTAATTTAATTGTATGCAAAAACTCAAAAAAGCCCACAATTAATTGGGCCAAAAACAGTTAAAGGCCAGATCATTGAAAATTAGACTTACGCCTTGAAAAGTTTACAATGGTTGATCTTTATCTAATGTAAATGGTATTGAAAATTAACGGAATTATAA